TGTTTTATTTTTTGGATTTCGGACACTTGGCGCCATCCGACATTCTGGCACCCATTTTCAAACTTTCGATTTTCAGTTCAGCCCTGGGCAAATTGCACTTCTGCCCATCGGACTGAACTTGAGTCCGATACTTGAGATCGGACCCAAGCCTAGTACGACATTCAGTTTGCGGCCTCAGTGCTTGTGCTTCGGTGTGACATGCCTCGACATTGTGTTCGTAAATCCAAGACTTCGACTTTGCGACTTTGCCACTTCGTGTCTGCGTTCGTCGAGTCGCATCGAGTCTGCGTCGAGTTGAATGAGTGTGTGTGTATGCTCTCCCTCTCTCCCTCTCTCCCAGCCTCGTTGCCTTGCCTCTGCCTCAGCCTCGTCACACTGGTAACGGAGCGAGGTTCGAACCCGCCCGACCCACCCTGCTTCGTCGTCACCACCTGGCCATCATCAACGTCATCGTCGTGATCATCGCTGTCGTGCCACATCATCATCGTCATCGTCGCGATCGTCGTCGTCGTGCCACGTCATCACGTCACCATCACCACGGCCCCTGTCCTCAAGATCGCCGACCCCACTCGCCATTTCTATATCACCACTGATGCCTCCGACTTCGCCATTGGAGTCGTACTGTCCCAACATTTCCCCCGCGACACCGCCGAGACCCCCTCCATCAAGGACTCGCCCACTCACCCCGAGGCTCCGCCTGGCGAATACCCCATCGCCTTCGCAAGCAGAAGCTCCTTCCCGCGGAAATGAATTACCCCTCCAACGAGAAGGAACTCCTCGCCGTGATTCACGCCCTCACAGTCTGGCGCCCGTACCTCGACGGGCAATACTTCACCATCCGCACTGACAACACCATTGTCTCCTCCATCCTCTCTAAGAAAGATATCACTCCACGCCAAACCCGCCGGCTAAACTTCCTTGCCCAGTTAAGATTCACCATTTGCCATACCCCCGACAAAAGCAACCGCGTTGCGGATGCCCTCTCTCGACGACCCGACCACAAGCCCCCCGAGAAAGTCTACGGCGCCATGACTCATATCCAACTCCTTCCATCACTCCATCACCGATACACCCAAGGCTACCTCTCTTGCCCAGACTTCGCCACCATCTACAACAAGCTCCGCGATCTTGACCCAGTCCCCGACTACTCCCTTCACGACAACCTTCTCTACATCGATACCAAAGGCACTCGCTGACTTTGCATCCTCGACGCACGTGGTCTCCGTACTCAACTCTTGGCCGAGCACCACAACGCCAAGACCGCATGACACCTCGGTTTCTAGAAAACCTTCAACACCATCTCCCGCTACTTCTAGTGGCCTTCCCTGCTTGCCAACGTCAAAGCATACATTCGCTCATGCCCCACGTGTCAAGCTGTCAACCCCTCGAACTGGGCCAAACCCGGCAAGCTCCAATCATTGCACATCCCAACTCACCGGTGGCAGTCCATCTCCATGGACTTCGTGTGCGGCCTCCCCAAGACCGACCGCGGGCATGATTGCATCTTCGTCATTGTCTACCGCTTGACCAAACGTGCCCACTTCATCCCTTGCACGACCTCGCACAGTGCCAAAGGCGTCGCCACACTCTTCTTCGACTATGTTGCTCATGGCTTCCCCGAGAACATCATCAGTGACCGTGATCCTCGCTTCCTCTCACAACTCCGGAAACACCTCTTCACGGCCTACGGAACCACGCTCAAGTATAGCACTGCATTCCACCCACAGACCGATGGACAAACAGAGAAGATGAACGATACTCTCCAAAGAATCTTGCGGAAATATTGTCATCCACACCAACACGATTGGGAYCAGTTGCTCACAGCCGCCGCGATTGCCTACAACAACTCCGTCTGCCCTTCCACCGGCATGTCTCCATTCTACCTCGACCTTGGCTACCACCCTCGCTTGCCCTCCGACTTTTTGCTTCCTTCGCAACTTAACCTATCCACCCCCTGCCCCTCTCTCAATGAATGGGTAGCAGCAATGAACACACTCCTGAGAGAAGCCTCCGAAGCCATTGAACGAACCCAAGAACAACAAGCCAACAAGACTAACAAACATAGACGGGACGTGTCATTCAAAGTAGGGGACAAAGTCTGGCTCTCCGCCAAACGCTTTGAACCCGAACACAACTTGTCCAAAAAACTCTCCAACAAATGGCTCGGTCCCTTCCCCATCATTGAACAAACCTCCCCCGTCAACTACAAACTCCAACTTCCCCCTGACATGAGTCGTGTCCACCCAGTCTTCCATGTCGAGTACCTAAAAGAATACCATGAATCCCCGCCCCAGTTCGCCGACCGCCCATATCCTAGACCTCCACCGATCATGCTATCCACAGGCCCTGAATTCGTTGTCGAAACCATCATCGGCCGACGAACCACTCAGGTATCGGATCATCCGGAACCAATCACTGAATACAAAGTCAAATGGACCGGATACCCCGACGAAGAATCTACATGGGAACCTCTCTCTAATCTTAAGGACGCCATGAAACTTGTCTGCGCCTATGATCGTCCTAATCCTATGTCCTAGATACCTATATAACTATGGCATAAACCCCCGCTAAACTCTTGCAACCCTGCGCAACACACACCCTTGAACCCAGCCACCCTCCCCTTGACCCTGATTCGTGATGTCTGATCTGCCCCTACCCTTGCCTAGCCTTGTCCCATCTGTCCTCTCCAATACCTTGTCTCTCTTGTCAAATGCTTGTGGACCTGCGTGACGCCGGCGATAAAGGATCTAATGGCAAGCGCACGAGGACGATGGCCTGCTGCCTCACTGACCATGGAGATTATGCAGCTGGTTTGGCCACCATGCTGTTTCATCGGCCGGCATCCTGACCCGCAGACTTACTGGAGCAGGAACTTGCAGCATGGATACTTGCATCAGTCTGCGACTTACCTGCTTCCAGATCAGACCTCATTGCCGTTCATGTACCGGATGCACCCTAGCACTTGGACTTTGGACATGTGGACTACTGCTGTGCTTCTTGGACTTCTACCCGTTGCAGCCACTGAAGACCGCCTCCACCACCTACTCCAAAACCTGATCAAGACCGCTGCAGACGTCCTTTCAAGACACTCGAACACTTTGTTCCCACATGAGATGTTGCTTCTTCGGACACAACCAGCCCTTGCATCCTGAACAAACATTTTCATTTTTTTTTTCTTCCCGACTTTGACAACCCTGTAGAACATCATTAGCAATACCCTGTTTTCCTGAACACCGTTTCCCTTACCCAGTAGAACATCAATAGAAGTTCCCTGTTCCCTGAACTTTGTTCCCCCTTAACCTATAGCAAACCATGCA